GGGTCGACCCTTCACACCCCCTTCCCATCACTAAAATGAGCCCGTGACTCGAACGGACGTCGGACGTGCCCGAGGTCGGAACGCACGGAGCGGACGGCCACTGGAACGCGAACGCGAGCACCCGAACCGGAACGCGGAAGGAAAACGCGCGCGGATCCGCGATGCAATGCGGCGCGCGTATCGCTATTACAATCGTGATCCGATGTGTTCCGACCGAGTCGGCTACACCTTTGGGCACGTTTTCGTTTCCGCGGAACACCGCGAGACGGATGGCGCAACCCAACCGGAATTAGGTCAACCGAACGTGCGCGCGCGATTAGATAGCGAACACACGTCGTGTTGTGTCTGTACGTATTTTTACGATACGTACGCGCGCGCGTCATTATTATTTTTTTTCCCCCCGTCGTTGCGACCGCGCGCGGTTCGTATTGTCCACAGTTTTATCGCCTTCACGTCGGGCGGCGGTCGGATCGAAAATATCGGCACCACGTATTGCGTTTTTACGGTATAAAACCGACGGTACCACCGCGTAACCGTGTTGGTCGTGCGACAAACGCCGACGGTCGATTTGCCGTACCCTTCGGACCCGACGTTCAACGGTCGCGAACAGTTCACCGCAATACATTTCACTCTTATTAAATTATATCGTTGTATTTATATTATTTACTTTTATCAGCGATGGAAGTTTTTTTTTCTTTCTTTCTTTTTGCGACACTTGAAACGAGATTTCTAACTCGGACGCGTTGAAATGAATTTATTTTCACTGCGTTCGTGTTTAGAACAACTCGTAGTATGTGCAACACATTCGAGCGGCTCGAAGTTTTTTCAAGAACGCGCGTTAAGGCCGAGAGGCGCTTTTAAGGTGTGACACGTCGGGAGTATCGTTTCGACACATTAAAACACGTTTAGCGTGCCGTAAAGTTCTTGAGGATGTTGTGACCTAAGCCCGAAGGACTTCCGAAACCTATAAGGTCTTAATAACGTTCGTTCTGCGTATCGCGGAGAAATGTATCCTCCGAAAAACGTAGTTAACGTGTTCAGCACCGTCGTACGGCTTCAAAAATCGTGTAGAATATATTACAAGGCCGACGGTGAGATAAAAAAAAAAAAAAAAGGTTCGAGCTATTTCATTGTTGCGACGTTGGTGGCGGCGGCGGCGGAGTACAAGCAAGACCGTGTTCAAATATTCACTTTCGTTTTCGAAATCACTGGACGGCGACAGCTACGGAACTCTCCTCCTACACTCCTGAATAATCATCCAAATAAACGGTCGGCCGTAATGATCGCTGTCTGTCGGCACCGAACTGTATATGTGTGCTAACCAGCTTGTTTAAATCGACCTTACAGAAATACAGACATTTTTGTCGACTAATTAGCAGCCAAGGGCATCCTATTGGATACGCGAAAGTACGCGAGAAACGTAATCGGCGTGAACGATCGAGTGAAAAACATTATCGAAAATTGGATAGTGTTCACTATACAGGGTGTTTGAAAAATAATCATTCGATTCCTACGCGAGAAAACTTTGCGGAAGACTTAGAAACGCGTAACAAGTCCTCCGTAGACATTCGTATTTCGTTCGATTCGCACGTGGACAAACGCTTGTCGTCATCTCGGAGAAAATTGAAACGTTGCACTCTTATTTTTCTTCTCGCACGCGCCTCAACTGCCTGTACCGAAAGAACTTTAGATTTCCATTTTTCCACCGGTACGTGTTTATTTTTCGTACAGCGATGATCGCTGTCGCCAACATCGCTTAAAAATCATATGTTTCGAACACAACGCTTGAATGTCGAATAGCTAGTCTGTAATAACGGTATTTTCAACGTTTTACGAAATACCATTGGATTTGTTGCTTGAATTTTAGTTTTAACGAAATCAAATGTTATTTCTGTCGAAGAAAATACATATATGACGTCATCCGTACACGCTGTACTTCTTATAAATTAATGTACACCGTCAATGTTTTGTTATAATACGTTTTCAATAAGTATTTGAAAGTAATTTCACGAGGAACTATAGCCTATAGGTTTTGGATATTTTTTTGCTTTTGTGAACCACCGCGGACGGTTGCAGTTGGAGAGAAAAAAAACCGTTCGGTTATCTAAGAGCATAAGATGATTTCATCGATGATGAAAAAAGAAATGGGTTTGAACGTGTGACGCAATAAAAATACGAATTTTCATATTTCGTTCGGAACACACTACGTAGACGGTAGAAAAAAAAAAAAAAAACACACACGTAACCCCGTTTTCTTTGATCGCGCATCACTAGCGATGGTACTAGCAAGGGGTTCTTCTATTCGGGTTGACGACACGGTATATTGCATTGTACACGAATCAAGTTCGGTCTAGACTCTTACCGTACATGATGGTAATCCGAATTGAATCCTGCGGGCGTGAATCATGTTCGAAACCGGAAAGAACCGAACTCTCACTGTCGCGCCGCAAACGCATAAACACGCACGCGCGATTCTCCCTGTTGCTCCTATCGTCGGTACCGCGTTCGGGTGTGGGGGAGTGGGTGGAGCGAAGGGATTCGAGGTGAGTGTCGCGCGGACGATTCGACACCCCGCAGCAACCGTTCCGCGGCCACCACTCGTGTCAACGGGGTTCCCGGCAACGCGACATTGCCGACGACGACGACGACGACGACG